TGTGCTTATGTAAAAGGTCTTTCAGTGGGACCCCAATAGGTGGGTACGTACCGTCAATTTTGAATGAAAGAAATTTCAGAAATTTCCGTTGAATCTTCTCCAGAGAGCCACAAGTTGTAACATAGCATGGATTTCATATTAGCCGTCCATATTCTAATTTAGACAGTATGAATGAATTATAAAGCATAATCATCGCATCTTTGTTACTTAATTCCTTTGAGTTACGTATTACAAATCCTAATAATCTGTTGACAGCATTAATAAGGTACTCAATATGAGGATTGAAGCTAAGTGACATGTCAAAAATCACACCCAGGTCCTTGCATTCTTTTACTCTCAGCAGAGAATGTTTGCCAATTTTGTAGTCAAATGCAGTAATATCTAGCTTTCTGGTGTAAGACATAACACTACATTTACTGTAGTTGATTTTAGGTCGATTTACAGCACACCATTTAAATATTTTGGCCAGGTCTTTTTGTAAGCGAGCACAGGCAGTGCTGCAGTCGACATTGGAAAAAATTTCAGATCATCCGCATAGATTGAGTGCTGTCGATGTCGCTAACAATGTCGTTTATGAACAGTATGAAATGCAAAGGACCTAAGCAGGAGCCTTGAGGTACCCCTGAGGTTGGGAAGAATTCAATGGATTTGACACCCTCATATTCAACATGCAAATAAGATAAGGCGAAACATCCAGAAGGAAACATGCCATAATTTGATGATCTGCTGCACCACGATGCACTGCACTGTGTATAGGAAAAATTGCAGTACTGCAAGCAGTACGATTTTTGATACTACCTACTGTTCAATAAGCAGTACGATAAATCCTTACGTGTATAGGCCGTTTTACAGCTAAAACCATTCTTCACGCAGCGGTACATCTGAGGCAAAGGTTACCCGGTCACTTCAGTATTTAGAGTAGTCGGTACTATCAGTACATATTGATGATTCCGTCAATAACAGTGGATTTCTACTTAAGTTTATAACGTTTCCTTTCGATAAAGTGTGCAGGTTCCGTGTTTGAAATACCCTTCTCTATCCCACGCTGATTTTGCCCCCAAAACAGAATGAAATATCTGTCATTATGTGCCTCGTATTATCATCTGTCAATGCAAAATTTGGTTTTGTTTTGAGACCCTTCACAATTCGAATTCACAAATATCAATTGATAACACTAGCACCAGCTTCTCCAAGTCGGGTAACATCTGTGCACCGAGTGCTAAAATAGTTCAAGGTTCAAAGACTTGACATTCAAGCGTCTTGACTTGACATCAAGTAAAGTTCAGGTCATGCATTATATATTAGCAATCTGATATCGAGCAAAGTAGTTTTTACGTCTGTCAAGCACTTGAACAGCAGTCGTAGAAATAGTCTGTATATTACTTGATATTTTTTTTAATATAAATATGAGTAGATTTTATATACTCGTACACAACGGAGAGACTTTATTTGACACAAGTTTTAGAGAAAAAAATACATATTGAACAAAATAATTTGTTCATCGTTTAACCAATAACAGTCCGATAAAACTGTAAACTCAAGTAGAGAAAAACATTTCTTCATCAGCTGATACAAAAAAAAATATCTAAATTAGCTCTTGATTCGCTTACTGACCGGATTTTTAACTACACTCTTATGCCATAATAATTATTTTTAAGTTAGTTCAAAGGGCATTTTATAGCAAAATTAGTTTACCATCCGCTTCGTTTCAAAATGTCTATAGTAACATATGTTTTTCAAATATCGTAGCGCATTTGTCCAATACGAAATGTGTGAATATTGTTAGAAGAAAAACACGTAACCTTTCAATTTCGCATAAAATAACATTTATCTCTTCGGAATGGTTTGTGATTCATATATTCAAGGGAAACTCGTGTATTTTGCTACTAAATGCTCTTTGAACGAACCCTGTATATTGCTCAATAAACTAGAAGTGATGGCTTGAAAACAGGTGTTTTTGGGATAAACAATTGGAAATTTTCAAAAACTACTTGAGAAACTCGTGTATTTTGCTACTAAATGCTCTTTGAACGAACCCTGTATATTGCTCAATAAACTAGAAGTGATGGCTTGAAAACAAGTGTTTTTGGGATAAACAATTGGTTATTCTCAAAAACTACTTGAGAAAAATACTGTTTTTTTGTTTTTATTTAGAAGCATGGATCCTACGGAAGCAGTTGCGTGAAGTTATCGTCGCATCACCAAGTGCGAAAACCTGCATTTTACCGCGTTTTTCGGCCATAACATTTTTGCTATTAATCGGATATTTTTACGTGTAGTCTCATTTTGTAGGACTCATAAACACCTAGAAATCTTATTGGACAAGTTTTTTCGTTTGAATCTCTAAAAACACGTTTTCTCATTCTTTGTTGTCGAAGAAAAAATTTTCCCCCAAAAATTGGTGTACCCATTTTATGCGTCCATGCTTTAAATACCTCCTCGAACAACTTGCATCAATAAAACCCAACTTTACAATTATTTCGGGGAAATTTGCTAACATGATTAGACTAAATCCTGGAGTTATCTACCCACAGTGTTAGCATGGCCAATAATTGCAGTCATTTAGGCTACTCGGTCAGTAAATATCATCGGATATTGTAATGACGGATCACATTATTACTTCACTGAATCCCAAAATCAATAAAGGCTTTCCGATTTTAATACCAACATTGAACCGAAACATGTTTGGTGAGCGGAGATCAAAACATCAGAAGATAGGCAGACAGGGACAGACAAATATGCTGTAATGAATGAATAAGACTGTTTATGCATGCTCAAGGTTCCGACTACAATCTATGACGCTTATAATGACACTTTCGTTATCATGTTACTTCACTGTGCTTACCAGCTCTGTTTGGCATTTGGATAAAAAATCTTAGTGTACTTAGATACGCATGTTTGGATGATTATCATGCAAGAGGTTCAACTTTTTTTACTGCTTCCCAATTTTTCCATAAAATCATGCGAGGATAGTGTGATCTGCTACAAACGTATTAGCAGAGTTACCAGGTATTGTCACTTACAATAGGTGATAAGTGGCATTCGAAAAATTTTACTGGTTAACACCGGACGCTGCTTGGTATTGAATCAGTGTGGGATTTGCAAACAAATTCGATACGAACAACTTATTAACATATTTCACGTGCGTCCATGGTCTATGTAGATTTTAAAGTTGACCATAAAGAAATAGAGGGACACCCTAATAATATGATCAAAAACAATAAACGCAGACATGGGCGGCCGCATGGTAGTGCCAGGGGAGGCCATGCCTCTCCCCCTGAGGATCTTATTATTTAACATGATTTGAGTACAAGTTTTTGATTTTTAGGACTTTTCCCCCACCCCAGAGAAAAATTGCTACACTCCGTTCGTCAAATAGGTTTTAAGGCAGAAGCACGTGTACCCTTCAAAAAGTTTTTATGGGCAACTTGCACAAAAATTTGTCCGTTGCCGATGTTCGGCCCCCCTGAAAGAAATTCTTGCGGGCGCCATTGGTTAAACTCAGGAATTCATTCATTCAGAAGACAAAGAGCAATAATAATATACATTTACTATACGTAGTCGTCATATATTATGAAATTATAACACAATATTTACGAAGTTACTCGTGTGCAAACATAAATGCTCCGGGTTGGGGTCGTTCCTTGTCTTTTTTACAATGACTAAATTTAACTTTCAAAACTAAATTACTTGAGGCCAATAATTCCAGATTAAGCTTCGCAGGACCCGGATAAAGACTATTAAAAATCCTACACAAAGTAACGTTGGTTGAAAAAATGATCCATTTCGACTCTCACTGCACTAACAATACCATATGCGCAAACTGATAGCTATGGACACCCAGCATGCGTTCTAGTGGTTCTAACAGCTGTACAAATGATTAAAATTGCAATGACACGTTAGAAAGCTGGAAGGGGACTTCGTAATAACGTGCTTGTGTCAGGTTTCGCTCCCCCCGTTATTAGTGTAACTAAGCCGAGATTGTGACCGAAAATAAAAAAGATAATATCATCATGAAACTGTTGGTGTGACAGTTCTTGACTCTAGCCAGTTGCCAATAACGTCATGAAAACAGAACAAGCGGTCATTTTAAGAGGCTATCAAATTCAGTACTACTGAAAGTCTTTCTAAATGTTGTATATGTGAATCCTGTTTGGCTGAATGCAGCACACCTTCTCATTTCATTTTTGTTTTTTATTTATAAATATTCCGTAAGCTATTTGTTGATATTGCAGGAACATTAATTTGGAATTAGGAAGAGCATCTGAAATTAGTATTCATCCGTTTTTAGCTGTCAATAATATAGATAATAAAATATAAAAGATGCAAGCTATGAACTATGCTATATACTTAACAACACAACCATGAATGCTCCCAAATTCTGTAGATTTTTCATGACATCACTGATAGTATACATTAGGATGGTTTTTGTCATCAATTCGCAGTTTTGCAAGAATTCTTAGTATTTCCGACCAGGATCTTCAATTTGTTTTCCTTTCATATCTATATACGATCTGCACCCAAATATCAATTAAAAATTCACTAACCATAAAAATGGGTATAAAAACCATTGATTCGATCCCCCTGATTTATATGACTGAGAAGGAGCTTTGAAGATACGTTAAACACCTAAAATATACGTTAAATACCTCAAAAGTATAAATGATTAACTTTGAAAGCTTCCCAGCTCGCCATTTTAAAAGATAGTGACTTTATATTTAGGGTTGAATAATCATTCCAGATGCTTTTCCCAGTTCTACTAACCACGGAGCCCCAAAAATTGACGCATGACTGCGGGCCCAGCGATTAAAGTGAGTACGAGCTACTGCGCATGCGCAAGGTATCTGAGGTTATCGTGCGAGATCCGACTCCTTGAATCTGCAGGTATGTTTTTTATTAAACTTAATTTTTATCAATGATTAATTGAAGCAGAATAAATTAAAGTAGGATTGCTCTTGCCAGGCAATAAACAGATATCTGCAGACAAGCGGCCGAATTTTGGACTAAGGAAAGTGTTTCTATGTCGGATCTGTCAGAGCTCAGCGTTGCCAGAACAAGCACAAAAATCGCCAGAATTGATACTTCTTCAAATCACAGTTAATGGAAAGGGGTAGGTTTGGTTCAAAGAGCGGGGGCGGGGGGTGCTTTCTATTTGCGAAATGTCTGATTTGCTCCAGAACCTTATATCCGCCAAAATAAAAACTCCCGCAAATTTGGAGAAAATCCGTCAATATGGCACCACTGGTATTCCAGTCTGAGTTCTGGGTTCTGGGGTCCTATTTCGTGAAGTCGTTCTTCAGATTGAGATATAGAACTATTTGCGAAGATAACTTTACGACTGTGGTGCCAGGTAAGATATAAACTGGATCATATCTACAGAATTTATCTTTCTGCTATGGAGGATGGATCTGATCCGTGGACTTGGTGTGGTTAGATATTGTTAAAATATTTGATTTGTTCGATCCAAATCTCCGTTTTTACTTGGCTCACTGGTTTGGTTCGCTGGATTTAGATATTTCGCATAAAATCTGCATGGCTACTCTGCGTATCAATAATTCGCTTAAATTTGAGATCGGATGCGTTTAAGTACTGTTGAAATGATTTTGATATGATGGTTTTGATGCAGATTTTGGTGTGTTTTATTTCTGATGGCTCTAAATTTGTTTTTCTGTTTTTTGACCATAGTGAGAGTTTACGGTTAGATGGTAAGAACGATGCCAATTGGACACGTTTTACAGAAGAAGAAATGCAACTCACCCAATATGGCCAAACAGATGCAAGTGCAAGGGCATCTTATTGAAATCTCAACGACCAAATCACAGATTTTCACAATCTTTTCAGGGCCAAGAGCACACCGACGCGATGGATACACCTCATTCAAACATACCGATATCTAACTAAGAACACGTTCTTGGCTCCCAGGCACATACTGTATGTCTTTGTTTGTATGGTTTTTTATTTTGTATTTACATCTAATATTACATTCAGAAATATTTTTATTCTGTCTGTGACAGAAATATGGAGGATTTATTTATTATGTCACGTTTTACCTGGTAAGTTATCCATACTCTTATCATGTTGTCATATCATGCAACACGGAAAACGATAGCAAGAACCGCATCAAGTAGATCGACTGGATATTTACTCTCGATAACAAATTTTTATGCTCTATGAAAGGTGGAACAAATAACAGTGACAACGAATTGGAAATCGTTTTTGAAACATCAAGATTTATCTAATGACTTTCTAACACGCCATATCGGCAATAAATGCTTTTTATCAAAATTCAACTGTATGCCAGCAAACGTGGATCTTTCTAGTACCATGTTACGAGAACCTTCGATCAACCTTGCACTATTGTTTTGAGTAAGAGGAAGAAGAGATATGATGTAGCGATACAGGATCATTTGCGCATTTAATGTCAAGCATTTATTACAAAAAATACAGAAACATTACATAATAAGAACGCACTCTTCGCTATGACGAACGTAGTCATCCATTCGCTAAAACCCAATCGACATTGTTTTTCTTTAATTAAATGTCGAAAACTGGCGTTTTCTGACATAATTCTGCTGTAGATTGGAAACATTCTGGCGAGTAAAGATTACCTATAATCTGAAGCTTGCTTAATTTATACTTCAATTATAACTCCAAATTACTCATGACAATAGGTGAAACAAAATCTAATTTCTGAATGTTGTTAAGTAAAGCAAAAACCGTATTTCAGTTATTCTAGAACGCCCATTTTGTGATACAATACAAACATATCGGGTGTTTCAAATTCGACTTTCACCACTGAGATCTCTAAAACGGTAAAAAATACGAAGTCGGGCAAAGTTGGGCATTTGGGTAATTAAAAAATTGGCACTCTCAATAGCACATTGCTGGTATACATATTAATGTATATTACGTTACACATTTTTCAAATCAGAAAAAACTCTATTCACCTGTGCGAAAATCCGATAAGAAAAACTAGACAAAAGACGAAATGACATATTGAAATTCTAATCATGCTACTTTTTATATGGAAAAACGTGCCAGTATTAATGTGTAAATTTTGAAATCCTACCTAAATAAAGTCAGGAAAAAAGATTACGGCTGGGAAAATCCGATATTTTGTTGCATCTCTGGAAATATTCTGAATTGTGAAACTTTGTAAGTGCCATTTTCTTAGTTACCTGACTTCGTATCAGTTACCGTCTCCGAGGTCTCGGCGAGAGTCGAATTTGGAACACCTTGTATATGAGTATCGAAACATTCAGGTCTACACTATACGATTACTGCCACTAGCTGTATAAGAAAACACTTGAACATTCTACATAGTTCTTAGAAGCAATGGAAGCTGGAGTCCCGAGGGATGAGTTTGGCGAAAACGTCATTTTGACGTTCCAAATATCCAAATGGAAATTCTGAACTGTTTCTGACCTGTCTTGACATTTCCAGGATTTTGCAAAAGTGTATTGTTCTGAACTAGATAATAATAATTCCTCCTGCATACTGAAGATAAAAAACCTGCTCTATATCTCCAGGAATGTTTTCCAATGTGCAGCAAAATGTTTGTTTGTAAATACTAACAATGTATACTCACCTTATCGTGACCGCCAATAAGACAATTATGACACCAACCATAAACATAGCAACACACACCCCGCCAATCATGTACAAGCTCTCGTTCGGTGCATCTGAAACAAAAGAAAAACAATGAATTGTCTGAAACCTGTAGGAAAGTGCTCTGCACTTTCTTTGACTATGTATTTGTGTTCCATACAATTTCGGATGAATGTGGTATCTACAACTAAAAACATTTTGGTGATCTAACATACCGACATTTATATTCGTTCCTAATATTGATGTCATCTCTGATATCATGGAAAATAAAAAAACATGGAGGGTTCACACTTTTATGATCTTATAACAGAACATTTATGGTATCTTTCAATATTCATTATCATTACCTTGTCAATGATATATCACAAGACGCTTTTGTAATCGCCATAAGAAAGGACCAAAGTCATAGTTGATCGTCAGTCATTTTGTAATTTTTTCAAGTATCAGAAAACATAAAAAATGGCTTTAAGTACATTGACTATACTCTTTGCAGCTTATAAATGACCAGGTTCGACACAAGTTAGCCCCTCTAAGAAAAAAAAAATCATCTACTAAAATCTCTAAGAAAGAAAAAAATGATCAAGTCAGTCAAATAGGCCTATTCGATTAGTTCATAGACATAGAAATGAGTGACCTCGTTTTTCGTGATGCAGGTGCCAAATAATTTTTCGCAATTACAGTTCTTCCTGGCAAGTGCCATGGGAACTAAAAAAAAAAAGAAAAATAAAGAAGGGAAGTGGGAAGGAAAAGCAATGGAGCAAACGGATGATACTCATTTAAATCACTGTCTCAAACCAGCAATATGCAATATCTTTGACTCTTTGATTAGAACGCTTTACGAATAACATACGTATACCATTCCGTTTTAGGTCATTTGTATCTTTAGCCTTGCCAGGTCTTTCCAATCACACAAGACGTGAGCTAGACCTCTGGACCTGTTAAGCCACTAACCTCACTTTCCCGGGCTTGCTCATCCACGTTCTCATTCTCTTTGTACTCTTTATATCCTAGTACCCATAACAAGCTTTATGGAACGTCGATCGTTATTAAAAAAATAATTACGGAATTTTGGAATTACTCTACATGGAATGCTATATAATCAAGCACAAATTGCAAATTATGTTTAATTATTTTGAACAGCGGTTGGTTTCTAGGCTAAGTCCTATGTAACGGTAGCAGTCGATCTAACACAAATCATTGGTTCAAATCGTGATTATGGAAATTGGCCGAGTAGTTAAACTAAACTGGGTGAACTCAATCCTTGACTTTTAAACGATGTAACAGTTTGATTATACTATAATAATGGCAATTTAATACACATGCTTTGTTGATTAAACTGAAATAATGTATGAATAGAAGATTTTGCTTCCTAGATTATGATCAAAACACATGTCCTTGATGATTGGTTGTCAAGTTTTCAGCAAGTGTGTGTATATAACACTATGGCGACAGCTCAAGAAACTCAAGGATATACATATTTCGATGCATCCCGCATTAGGAAAGCCTACTTAGCACAGAACTCATGACCGACAGCACTAAAAAATACGTTAAAAGTAGGTAGATAGTCCAGATGACCGGCACACAGTGGCACTGGTTCAAAAACAAAAAAAAACCTAGCCAAAAGAGTTTTTCACGTTTGACTCAAGGTTTTATTCACAGTTGGTGGAATGCATAAGTCAACTTTTGATAACATTAGTTACATTTAGATTGCTTTGCTTGCGAAATTATAGTGATGCGAATATCTGTCGCATCAAACGTTTACATGGCAAGAAGCTCGTGCAAAAAAGTTTGTAATCGAATAGTGACTCGCTTTAAAACAAGCAGCTGTATTGAGATTGTATCGAATAGCAACATATTTATCAGACACCCAGTTGAGAAATATAGTATGTATGTAATTCTGGCTGTACTTGACTGCACCTTTGACAACTATGCGACATTATACAATAATTGATAAATCAAAATTGAGCGCAATTGATATATAATAATAATAATAATAATAATAAATGGCCTTTATTTTACCTGGCGGGTTACATCAGCACAAGCTGTTTTTCAGAACCAACCAGGGCTAAAAAAAAAAATTCAAGTACATGCAAATACAACAAAAATACATTGAAGATAACATTTAAAGCAGAAAAAATTTTTTTTTTACAGAATCGTAGCATGGTATAATGACCAAAAGACCAAAAGAGAAACGTGCAGCAACAGAGTACGTAGCAGAATCAAAAACCGTGATTAGAAGTAACTTTAAAAAAAGAAAATATTTGGTATATGGCGGAAGATATAAAAATTAAAAGTGAACAGTAACAAATTTGTAAGAAAAACACAAACAAATGAAAAGTGATGAGTGAGAAAACAAGCACAAATAAACAAATATAAAAATAAAATTACATAAAAATACATGCTAGATGAAATCAAAAAAAAAAATACATGCTACATGTCATCAAAGACAAAGAGCCTAACTTTTCTTTTAAAGCTGGACACAGATAAAGTTTTCAAAGCTTGAGGTACTTTATTGTAGAAATCGGGCGCCACATATGAAAAGCTCTTTCTGAATTGGGTTGTTCGGTACCGAGGCAAGTCAAGAGTATATCCTACAAAACGCAGGTTCGCTGAGTGATGATCACATCTCATGGTAAGCTTGTTCTTCAAATAAAGAGGCATTTTATTTATCATAATACTGTGGACCAATGATAATAGATGCAGTATCCACCTTTGTCGCATAGTAAGCCATTGAATATTTTTAATATGATCAGATACCCTCTCCCGCCTTTGAATACCTAAACTGAATCTTATGCAGCTGTTTTGCACTTTTTGAAGTCTGTATGCCTCGCTCTGTATTAGACATGGACCATAGACAAGGTCCCCGTATTCAAGTTTACTTAGGATAAGGGAGTCACACAGCTTAACCTTGGTCTGCTTGGACAATACATTTTTATAGCTATACATTGACTTCAACTTAGCATAGGAACCCTGAACAGCTTTGGTGACATGATCATGGAAGCACAGGTTCTCATCAAATGTGATGCCCAAGTTGCGAACCGATGTCTTGTGGCAAACTTCATCACCTCCAATACACAGCTTTATTAATTCACTAGTGAATTTGCTGAATTTAGATTTAATAGTTATGATAGCCGACTTTCTAGGGTTAATACATAAGCCATGTTTGTTATACCACACACATATACTATTTAAATCCTCAGACAGCATCTCATTCGCTTCAATGTACATAGCAGGGTTGTAAGATAGATAAATCTGTGTATCATCGGCGTATGTATGTAATTTGCAGTATTTAGTGACTTTATCTAAGTCCGCTACATAAAGAGAAAACAGAAGAGGTCCAAGAATAGACCCCTGTGGTATACCTTTGGAGATAGTACCCTCCTGTGATAAGATGTCACCGATGTTTTGCATATGATCGCGATATTGGATCTGCTATATTGGTTAAGAAAAAACCGACATCAACTTGTTACCAGCCACCTCAAAAACAGACAACACTCGAGTTTGAACGTAATCCATATTGTTCTCAAACATGTCCGCCATACTGGCTGCCATTTTGATTAAAAAAAAGGCATCATAAGTTCTTTGGTGGAATTTAGTGGGTTTTTCATGGAGATGTTTTCAAACTGTGGTTCTCGGCCTCGGCATCATTGGAACAGTTCAG